TGGTTTCAACCATTCCGGGGGCATCAATGGTTCTGGGGCAGGTGAGTGGCATGGACTGGCAGCCTTCAGGAGGATGTCTTGGACACTGTATGGAGTATGCTGGAAGGCTCAGCCGTTGGCAGCCAAGTGACAATAAAAACCTGCTTTGTTTGAATACATATTGACTGTGACAACATTAAAGGTCACCGCTGTGCTCACTGATCTCTGGGAGGCGGGGTGTGTGTGTGTGTGTGTGTGTGTGTGTGTGTGCTGAATTTCCAGAATAAATGTTCCCTGTCCTGAGACTTTGCACTGTGTCCCAACCAAGAGCAAACACAGACCAGAGAGATAAAGCTGAGCATACAGACCTGTTTAAAAAAAAAAAAAAGATCAGCACCAAAAACCAGAAAGCGTCTTCTTTAGATAATCAGGGTCACTTTTGTGTGACTCTCAGATCTCACTGATAACACAACTGTATATAGGGTAGCATGAAATGGATACAAAAAAGTCTGTCCTATCAGTAACAGGGAAAACATGTAGGAAAGAAGGTCACTGCCTGCTATAAATTGGTATCCTATTTTTTATGTGTCGCCTATATAATCACAAGTAAAGAAGAGCCTAAGGAAGTCACTGGTGGGTTTCAGTGTAGTAGAGCCTTGGTGAGCCATTGCTAAACTGTCATCAGTGCTGTCGGTGTCCTCTGTTGAGAGAGCATAGTTCAAATAAAGATCATGTCCAGATTCTTAAATCACATGTGTCTTGGGGTGGTTCCAGTTGACATCACAGTGAAACATTTGCTTTTACCATTTCTGGCTTGCTAGCTCATATCACAGTGGCCTTCCAGAGATCCGTGTGGACTAAGAATGGAGAAAGGAGGCAAATTCAATTCAATTAGAAAAAGAAAAACTAATAAAACTGCATAGTTCCCAGGAGCCACACTGAATGAAACCCTCAGGCTTGGTTTCCGTACCCATGCAGGCCAGGCTGTTTTCTTTCCTGGCTTTCCCTTCCCTGGGTTAGTTCCATAAATCATTTCTTAAGGATTGTCTTTAGGCTGCATTTTGTAGACTGATTATAAATGATAAACAGTGGGCTATAATAACTAGTCTTGACAATTGCCATACCTCCTGGAATTTGCTCTTCCTTTCCAGTGAACTTGGAGAAATCCCCACACTAAAAACACTACAAGTTTTTGGAATCGTGCCAGACGGTACCCTTCAGCTACTGAGAGAAGCCCTTCCTCGTCTGCAGATTAATTGCGCCTATTTCACCTCCATTGCAAGGCCAACTATGGACAACAAGAAGAACCCGGAGATTTGGGGTATCAAGTGCCGACTGACTCTGCAAAAGCCCAGTTGTTTATGAAGTGCTTACTGCAGGGCAGTGTCTCCTCTTCCCCTGGAAGGAGGAACACAGACAGCAGAGCCACTTGCTGGATACCTTGGTTATGCTATTGGTTTTGCCTTAGCCTTCACTTTACATGCGTGTTAGGGAACCATTTGTGAGGAACAGCCACTGAAGTGTTACTTTTTCAAAAATACAGAGACGATTCTGTCAGTGCTGTGCCCTCAGGGCCTAAGTGTTAGGTCTTTGGAAATTTTAGGTGAGCCTACTATTTCAAAATGCTTTTTTTAAAGCAAAAATTTGAGCCAACTCTTCCAAGTGTCCTTCTGATTAAGTCTATTTAGGATCAAGTTTTAAAAATTACCCCTGGCTAACAATCTTCATGGTGTTTGTCATAACTTTTTATCTATTTAATTATTCAGTATTTTATAAAACTTGACTTTGAAGAATAAGCTATATGGATGGTGAGCTGGACGGAAGCAGCTGAGGCTGGTAGCATTTGAGGTGCTCTTTTCTGGGAATAACACAGTTCAACTTTGTGCAGGTATGAGGTTAGGGTAACAGAAGCACCGTTCTGCATGGTGTGCCTTAACTCTAAATGAGAAAAAAAAAAGACACAGAAAGACACACAGCCAGAGCAGGAGGATAGGATTGGTGCAGGATTTGAAACCTCAAAGGCTTTTTGCTAAAACCAGGTTAATATGAAGTATCCTTTAATGTTTTTAGGAACTATGCTGTTTCCAGAATCTTAAATTAGGTAAGGAAATCTACTTGTGTGCTTTTTAAACTTTATAATCGCTGTATGTTACAATATATGTGGGTTGTTTAGCTTTTTAAAAATTACTTGCTTTGTTTTAGGAATGTGATATTATTCTAGTCAGCATTCTGAAAAGTCGGATGGAAATCCGAGCGGATCGGGTAGGCTGATCGTTCCTTTAGTACTGCAGTTATTTTTATATTACTCTGAAATCAAGGACTTGAAATTCTTTTAAATGATCTTATTACAGTAATTGCTTGAAACTGCCCGTTAGGTTACTGGACCTAAAGTTGTTAGGTAGAACTGATTTCTGTCCATCGGAAATCTACACGGGGAAGCGTGCACGTGTGCAGCTTCAGAGCAGGCGGCCTGGCTTACACTTCAGCTGAGTGTTTAAGAATCACTGGGCATTAAACCTTTTGAAAACAGATGTGCTTTTTTTTTTAGCACTTGATACACAAGAAGCAAAAGGATCAAATTGTGTTTCTTAGAAAACGAAAAGAAAAAAAAAATTAAGGCAGTAACCTCTTTTATTCGAGCATTTCAGAGCTACAATCCATTTCTATTACCCTCTTCTTCAAAACCTTTTAGTTAACAACGTGAGGTGCCTTCATCTGCTCAGACCTAAAGAACATTTTAAGTGTCACACAAGAATGGTCATCCTTCAAGTCCCTAGTAGTTAAAAGAATGCTAACTACTACTTGAAACTATTGTTTACACATTCATGATGGGCTGACGGCAGACTCTGGTTGGACTCTGGCCTCCAGGCACCCTCAGACCTACAGTATCTGTTCTTCCTTACACAAGTCCAGCTGTGAGCTATTTTTGCCAACATGTCGCAGTAATACATGTCGCAGTAATCTGTATTTTTGTATGTGATTTCTACTTTTATAGACCGATTTTAAAATAAAGTACATTTTTATAAGAACAAGAACTTGAGCTACTTTGTGTATCCTTTTCTGCAGCCCTTACATTTAGAAAGCATCCATTTTGGGTTGTCATTTGGGTCAGGTAAAGATTTCAGCCACAAGTGCTACCTGTCCCCTTGTACTTAAAGTGAGTTCACAATGCATCTGAACAGCGTTGCGGGCCTGCTGGCCTTCATGTGCTCTCAGGAACACTTATGAAATGTTTGAATTCCACTGGCTGATGTGATGTAACACTGTATCAGCCTGGATTGTTTCCCATGCTCTAGACAGTTTGAAGAGCTCATGCCTGAGCTACCAATAGTTCACTCCATTTGAACCTTTCATGTTAACACCAGGCTGACAGTCCCCAGGCTTACTGATTGCTTTTTAACAGTACCATTACAGTCCTCATTTCATTTTCAATGATGGAAAATGTAAAGTATATACATTGGGCCTCATCATCCGTTTCAACAATCCTGGCCAGACATACTACTCTGACTTCATCCATTCACTCATACAAAGATAAGTTTAAAACAAAACGCAGACTTGTAATTTCATAAGTACTCCAGTGTATATAAAGGAGAGAGATTTGGCATTAATTATAAGCACTGAATGTCAGAAAGGGGTTGAAGAGCTATCTCCAAAAGTGTTTCATTGTGTGCTTTTCTCTGTTTTCTGAAATAAGACCTCATTGTGTATCTCACAATGGCTTCAAGATGGCTGTGTAGCCTCAGCTGGCTTTGAACTTGGGATCCTCAGGCTCTCTCTGCCTGCCAGGTGCTTGCTGGGATCACAGGCTTGTATCACCATTCCCAGTGTTGATCGGTCCCCCCTTAAAGGTCAACCTGCTGCATTCAGTGGGTGTGGGTGTGGGTGTGGGTGCGGGTGTGTGTCTGTCTGTCTGTCTACCTGCAGAGGCCAGAAAATGGGGGGTCCTCTTTGGCTCCTTATCTAATAAATGGTATGACTTAAAATGCCTTAAAGTCCACCTTCCTTGAAGAACAAAATATCCTTCTTGTTGACTTATGCCCTCTAATCCCTCATAAAGTAACTGCGTTAGAGAACATAAATCAAGTATCCTTTTGGAGACTTAATCTTTTGAGATAGGGTCTTACCGTAGAGCCGAAGCAGGCTTTTAGCTCTCAGTTTTCCCCTTAACCCCCAGATGGTTAGGATTACAGTTTGGCAGTGTATTTACTTATCTTATGTCATAGCATTAGTCATTATCCCTGTGACGTTTTTTAATGCCCTTAAGTATACAGACATAGATAAACACAGCGGTAAGAGCGCCTCGTGATTTAATTCTAAATTTATATTGTTTTCATAGCTCAGCAGTTAAGTGTCCTCCAAGTACTTTTTATCATTCTGTTTGTGTGTGAAGAGTTAAGTGAGTGAGGAGTTTGCGCACTTGTGTGTGGGTTCCTCAGGAGGACGTGTCTTGCTGTTTCATTCTGAACCTGCACCTAGACTGGCAGCCTACAAGTTCTAGCAATTCTTCTCTGCCCCGCTCCAGCTCCGGTGCTGCACTTCCTTAATGCAGGCAAACTGTGACCACAGTCAGCTTTTTAGATGGCTGCTGGGGATTTGAACTCATATCTTTATGTAGTAAGAGTCTTAAATGCTTGAGCCATCTCCCCAGCCTCTGTACCCTTCATTTTTTACCTGACACTTTAGCTCAAATGAATATATTTTAATTATTTGTTATTCTACTTGCATAAAAATGAAATTGTTTTGTTACACAAAAGCTATCCGTTCAAGAATATTAAACATAATAGAACATCAAAAAATATTGAACTAAGTTATGTGAAAAATACATTTTTGAATTAAGCATTCTGACCTCTGAATAGGCAGACTCAGATTATCATCCTATTACATGATGGCAGTGAACCACGTCTACAGTACACAGAGTACATGCCTGTGGGGATAAAGACATGAAACTGTATTCAAGGGGAAAACGTGGGTTTTTATGTAGTGATTTCAGAAGAATTTAGGAAATAAAAAAACAAAGTAAAAATGGACAGACAATGGTTTAATTTTATTTGCATAAAGTGATCATTAAAGGTTAACCCATTTAAAGACATTTTTGATATTCCAACATCCTTTGCTATTAGTCTATTACAATTAAATCCCTGCCTGAAGTTAGATTGTAGGCGGAGCATAGTAAGTAATTTTAATATTTTCCCAAAGGTAGCTTAAGAACAATTCCACACAGCTAGTTACCAGTTAATGGTACATATAAATAGATCTGTGGTAAATCATGAACAACCAGATCTAGATATATTAAGGATGATAGTGGCATTTTTTTTCCTAACAAGATATTTTAAGCCTTTTAGGGGAAATTCTATAGTGTAGATTTTCCCTTTCATATAAAGAGATATTGTAAATATATCCTTTTTTTAAAAAGTTAAAGTAGAAATTAGAGTTGGCTCAGCAAAAACACTAACTTCCTTCCTTCTACAGATAGTCAGGAAAGTGTTCTAAACAAACCCAGATCTAAATTAACTCACACAGTGACAATTCATTATTTTTTATTGAGAGCAGCGTGTTGAGTTTGGCAAAGCTAAGAGCATTTGATCTGATCATACATCCTAGCTTTAGTTTCTGACTTCTGAGCTCACTAGGCCCAAGTTCCATAAATAGTCTATTTCAATGTCTATGCAACATATTGATATCTAGAACATGATGTAGACATATATCTATAACATTTGATAGATGGCACAGAATGAGTCTTCAATAAACATTTTGTCAATAAAAAAAAGCAATTTCACCAACAAGTGAAAATACACAAATCTGAAAAAACTGGCATGAAAATACCACCCATTATTTAGCAATGGGAGCTTTTTTGTGGAAACGAAATCAAGAATTAAAATGGTCTCCTCCAAAAATAAAAGCAGTTTGCATACTTGAAGGTGGCGGGCTCTGATGATTCATCCCATTGTTTAAATTTTAGAATACAGTAAATGAAAATTACAATACTAGCTTAAGGCAATTCCAAAACGATGTCTTCGGTCTTCTGTGTTTACTAAAGAGTCTACCCCAGTACTAAAGGAAGGGTTTGAACGTTTTACTGAACTTCTATCAGAACAACCATTGACTATCCTTCTAATCCTTGATTTCATAAGAGAAATTCAAAACCGGGAGAGGAGCTCTTGGACTCCGTTACTTGCCTGAACAATTACAAAGCTTCATGATTTGTCCCATAGATGTGTTTCATCTAGCACTGTTGACATACCCAAAACAAGTCAGAATTTGTCTACAAATAATCTTAAAAACGATCCCGCTTTTTTCCGTCAGTAGTGATTTTCATCACTGTTTCCTAGAATTAGAAAATTCTTTGCTATATAAAACACATTTACTAACTTCAGTTAAGTGATCATCAGGATTTATCAAAATTCTCCATCATCAAAATTTTTAAAAAATCTTTACTTTTAGGTACTAGAAAAATAATGCACTAATCAAATAATACATGTGGCCAGTTCCACAAAGTTAGGAAGAAAACAACACTTTACAGTTAAATTTCAAATTCTAAACACTTACTCCTTTATTTAACCTGCCTCTCTAAAGAGTATCAACGCTCTTGGTTACCAACTGTAAGTAATACAGAAGCTTTCACATAATTCTAGTCCATTTAGTCCGTCCGTCTGTCTCTCATGGTGAACAGCTCTTGTCTGTCAGAATCAGCAGGCGAGCACATGCGTCCCATTGTGTCACCTTGACTCTAGGGGTAGCCCATCATTAAGAGCCATAACAAGGTTGGTCTATGGCTGGTCATCTGTATCTGCAGGGAAAAATGTCTCTAGTGATCAAATCCGTCGTCTGAGGAAGCCCTTCACTGTTCTAGAATCACAGTTCGAAGCTCATCTTCTTTATTGATCATCATGGAAGCAATGGCTCCATCGTTAAACTCAAAAGATGTTCCTCCATCCACAACCATGCAGGCATCCCAACATCGAGAACGAACACACACTCTAAGTGGAAGAAGACGACTCATTAGATATCAGGCTCTTAACCCGAAGTAAATTCTAACATAGCTAGCAGCTTGTTTGGCCTTGATTATGCAAGTTAGCTGCTCCCTGTTTGGGCAATCAGTGACTGTAAACAATACGGACACACGATCTACATCTCAAGTTTAAAATTCAAGGTAGACCCATTCACACTTCAGTGTTATTCCATTACAAGGATTAAGTGCTGAGCTGAGTGCATTCTCCGGTATCGTTTTTCTTAAGGATTACGTAATGTAAGCAGAGAAGAGTAAAAGTCTCTAACATACAGCTCAATGAACACAGTGCCAGTGCTTTCTCTCAGCTATTCCCACCCCTCCTTCTCAAGCAGACCACTATCCATCACTGTCCAATCTTGAACTCTGCTTCTGTCATACAGTTTGGGGATATTTTCATTCCAAGAATGAATAAGGTTAAGCATTTTTTTAGATGTTTATTAAATATGCTTTGCGAAACCAAATCTCTTCGGCTTTCTTTTTCTAATGTACTGGCTGCCTTTTACAGATTTGCTAGAATTTTTATATGTAAGCTGAGTAGCCTTTAGCCAAAATGCCTAGAAATAAAAATCTTTTAGCTAAGATTATATATACATGTGTGCGTATATATGCATGTGTGTGTGTATACACATATACATACACATATACATATATAAACAAAATGAGGTTTCTGGGGGTGAAACCCAAATCTACACAAATAAGCTTAGATTTGCAAATCCAAATTAACTTTCACTCGAATAAAGCAAAGGTTGCAATTTTATTCCCTAGCAGGAGAAAAAATACACTTGTCTTAAGGACTCACAAAGGAAAGGATGGTTTTGCTTGTTTGTTTCTGTTTTCTGTTTCTCTTTTAAATGTATTTCTGGAATGAAAGATGTGACTAAGGCTGCTTACTTTGAGGAGAAACAACGCTGTCGGCTGCTTGAGAAAACTCTATTTGCTATTGGCTCTCGAATACTGAAAAGTATTTTTGGTTCTTCTGGACTGTAGAGCAATGACTCGTTATATTCGTTTGTTACTAGAAGGGAAGAACAGCAGATTTAATAGAGAACGCTCACATCTGAGAAGCACATCTGAGGAGCAGGCTGTTTCCGACTGAAAGCACGTGGTGGGCATCTCTTGGGAACGCATATTACATACTCTACCATAAAAAGCCTAAGGAATAAATGACCATTAGGTTCAATTATTAACCCACAAAAGGCATCCATCACCCACAACAGAGAAGAAACAGGTACAACTGGGAAAACAAGAAAAATAAATACTACAAAGTAGGAATGAAGCAGCAAGACAAACTCAAAACTGTTGTCAAGTTCCTGACAGAAGCCATCTAGGAAAGGCTACAGCAAGCAAATGAGTTTCCTGGAGATGGCTGCAGTGGGTGCATTCTGGAGGGGCACAGCCCGGGAGACTCCATCCCAGGACTGCTTCTCACTGCCCATGTGCCTTTCCTGCCACTATTGCATAGCCTAATGACTCCTGGGCATCAGCCCATTCTGTTGGGCAAATTTCCTGCAGATCAACATGAAGATGAATTTTCATGAATTAATGCTGTTTAGATGAATTAATAATGACTTTATAGAATTTAAATAATTATAGGGAGAAAGTTTAAGGAGATGGTTTTAGTTGTTTTGCTAGAAAGATGTAGTAATAAAGTTAGAATCAAGAACAGACTGTGCCTTCTTTTCATAGAACAGTAAGTAAAGGCTGCATAATGAGGACCACAATGAGCTTTCATGAATTACACTAAGAAGAGAAACAGGCTTGGGACAGATTTGTGATCAAGGAAAAATATTCATTCTAGGTCAGGTCCAAGGATGAGGCCACAGGTGTACACTATGATAAAGCAAAGCCATGTGAGACTGTTGATTTGAACTTAGAATGACAAGTCAGGCACAGCAGCACACATGTGTTCAGTCCCAGCTGCCTGAAGGTAGGAGGATGACTTAAACCCAAGAGTAATTTGAGGCGGGCCTGGGTACCAAAGATCGTTGTCTCTTCAAAGAAAAAGGAAGAAGATAGAAAAGGACAACTATACAGGAGAGTTAAAAGTCACAGTTTAGCACAGTACCACATTAAAAGAAAACAGTTAAGACTGAGTGTCTAATAATATGCCTTATCTGTGGAAGTACAGTTAGAATTTTATATGTATGTTCCTAAAGTTGCAGTAAGGACATTAGCTAAATAATCCCAACAAATCTAAAAGTATTTGAAGTTGAAAATGTACTTAGGACTCATGGCCCCTGAGCAGCACAGCAGACACTCCAGGAGGCCCGAGTGCTGTGTGCCTTCTTGTGGCTGACCAGGCTCTACAGCCTGAAGCCCAGCCCTGCCCAGCACCCCAGGAATTACTTCATACCAACACTAGTCTGGGAAGGGCTCAACAATTAAGGTACACAGCTTCTACTAAAAGTATCATTTTTTTTTAATCCTTGGTAAGGTTAAAAATCCGTATTTTTTTTTTAAATCTAACCTACCAAAAAAGTAAATTAGAAAATGTGCTAGCTATGGAAGAAACTTCCAGTGAGTGGTTCTGGAAATGTCTGTGGCAGTAACTGCCACTGACCTGCGAGCTTCTGTATGCAGCTCAAAATCTGCAAAGTATCCACTCAGTAAAGCCTTTTCACATGATCAAATAAAAGTCCACCTCTGTATTCTGGGTGCAACTTGAGTAGAAATTATACAAATTTCGGCTGTATTACATTTACTGTGTTGGGGTTTGCTCTTGACAGAACATTAGTACGTATTTGTACGTAAGGCACAAATGGGGTGATTATCTGACTCATGGATGCCCTGAGGGTAATCAGGACACTCAGAACACCCGCCACATCTATCTTTATTTAGTCCTCATTATGTTTAATCTAAGTTATATAACAGGAGATTGCAGGTGCCAATTTCCTTTCCTTGATACCAATTTAGTGCTAATGCTAACTGACGAGCCATGACTAAAATCTTTTAAGTCTCAAACTGAAAATAAGCAGAATCAATTCGATAGTATTAATACCATAAAGATCAGAACCATGACTAAGGAAAAACCTACTGGAACAGCATCAGTTTAAATAGTAGCTTCCTATTTAAAACATCCATAGTCATCCTACTACCCAGGAAGTACTTACAGTTGCCGTAATGTGACATATGGGCTGTATTTCATGGTGAACACAAAGGACAGTATAACACTCCAGCTTTAGGACAGGCAAGATGGCTCACAGGTAGAGATACTTGCCATCAAACCTAATGATTTGAATTCACATCCAAATGAGGCAGCCATCCTCCTGCCTCCAAAGAGAAAAGAACCAGCCTCTTGTTAAGCTGTACTCTGACCTCCACAAGCACCATTGGACGTACATACGTGTGTGTGTGTGTGTGTGTGTGTGTGTGTGTGTATTCACAAAAAAATAAATAAATAAAAATGTAATTTAAAAGCTTTTTCTTGGGAACCCTGCTTTAAAGTTACCTTTTTTAGCCACATTTACCAGGGCAGTGTTGTAACACCTAACTAAGCAGATGTTCGTAGTACTGTTCTTTCTCAAAGCTGAGAGAAATAAGCTATCTGTAACAAATACCATGGGGTACCAACCTTTTTCTACCAATTCTTTGTTCAGTGGAAGAGTCATATTTCCTTGTCGTCTTGCTGTTGACAGAGGAGAGAAGGAAACAGCTTCAGTTCATATTGTAAATCACATAACACAAATATGCAGCATGCCCGTTACATAGCCCACAGTAACTCTGCAGTATACAACAGGGGTTTCAGTACTCACCAATATTTAAAACGTCTTCAACAGCCTGCGCTGCAACCCTGTTAATATTGAATGACCTAGAAAAAAGTAAGCGCATAGGTCTTGTTTTTGTCCTAAAAGCAAGGGAAAGTCTTCTTATTCTTGTGGGGAATACAGAAGCTGCAATAGGAACACTTAAGCACTCCAAAGATTTGAAATTAACCTGTTGCCAGTTCTACAAAGAATCCTAATCGGATACACTGGGTAGGAACTGAAGTGTATCTCCACACATCCCATTTCCACACATAATGCAGACTGGAAGCTGTCGTAAGAAGCTACCTGATGCCAGTGTACGAGGTACAAACATGGACTGCGTTAACAGGACTGATGAGAAGGGACCATTACTCGCTAGGCACTGCAATTCTTATGTCCTGCTCCTGTGGGAAAATGTCGGGATAGGCAAAGATGAGCTTTCTCCAAACACTTTTCAGCCTGTATACGTGGTTAGATTTCACATTTTAGCCCAGCTCACTATATAACCATGGCACTAAGTACTAACTCAGGGAATCAAAGTGAACAACATCCCCAAGCCTTGCTCACCAGCCCCATGGGGACAGTCCGTAGTGTCCCTCCTCCTGCAGCTCAATACAGTGACCTTAGTCACCATGTATGGAAGCAGCAGAGCCCCAGACTGGCAGGAGCCTTCCTCCCTGCATAGCTACTGAAGGAGAGCTGTCAACTAGGAAGGCCCACGCTGGACTTCCATAAGCTGTATTAGACCACTGAGACTGGGGGTTTTCTGTTACCCAGGGGTTTGTTATAGCTTACCCTGAGTCTCACATCCCCTCAAAGTTCATATTCAAAACAAAAACCAACGTCAGGTAAACTTTTTTTCTCCATCAAGAATCATAAGACAAGATGAAGAAACAGAATCCTAATCTTTCTTGTCAGGTGGTGAAACTACTAAGTGGTTTATTAAGCTCGCCTAACTCCCAACCTGTATTCAAATTACAATATTATGTCCTTTCTTACAGAGAATGCTGTGCAAGGAAAAGGAAAGATTCCCAGGAGCCATTTCTAATTCTCACTTTGGACTTCAACAGATGTGCTTACCATTTTCAGTTGAAAAGATATTTCCATGATCAGTGAAACCTGTTCATTGTCACACTTAACGAGATGGTTAAAAATTAATTTTGCAACTTATCAGCTGATATAGATTTACAATTATTTGTTATGTTGGGGGGTGGGATGGAAGATGGGAAGTGCACGCACGCATCATTGCCACGCACATGGAAGTCAGGGAGTTAACTTTTGGGAGTTCTCTTCCACCATGTGAGCCCTAGGGACTAAACTCTTGTGGTGAGCTTGGCAAGTGCGTCATCCACTGAGCCATGCTGCCAGCCTGGCTCAGGAACAGAAGAAAATGATGGCTATGAAAAGGTAGTAAATTCGACATTACACAAGCCCAACCTAAGAGTGACATTTGACAGAGTAGATTCTACTTATTTTATTTTATATTTTTATTTTATATTTCATATTTTTATTTCATTTCATTTTCTTTTATTTTGAGGCAGAGTCTTACTATGGAGCCCCCAGGGCCTTCAAACTATCATCCTCTTACCTAAGCCTCTTAAGTGCTGGGATTTAAAAGGCTTGCCGCAACATACAGCTAAGAACTAAAATAACACTGTGTGTGCTGTTTTTGAGAGCATCCATTTATTTAAGAAAGACCTGAATAAATATGTACTAGGCACTATACCCTGCTACACGCAAAACTTGAACAAGAGGAAAACCAAACCACTAGCCACCCTTTCAAACCATCGTCCTGTTAGCCTAGTAACAGTGCTCTCTCTGCCAGCTCTGAGAGAAGGTGAAGGATGAAAAGGGTCCACTCATTGTGCTTAGAAAAGAAACCGAGGTTGACGGCAACGGCCTACAGAGAACAGCACTTGAAGGCTGGATGCTTTCACACTGGGGGAAAGAGTATTTAGAAATCCAGAGCAAGAAGATGAATTGAACAAAAACAAAGGGCTAAAGAGAGCAAGGTGTGTGCTGAGAATGACAAGCAGGCTGCGGTGTCGGGAGGGAGCACTGAGGGGTAGGGTGAGGGCACAGAGAGAGAGGCCATAGCAACACTGCCCAGGGTGTGCGTGTCAGACCAAGCAGTCTGTGCACAGCACCGGCCAGGGTTAAAGCAGTCAATACACACTCTCTTCGTGTGTTTAGATACAGCACTCTGCACTTTACCACAATCACTCTGTTGGTAGTGTTTGGCTGACAGCCAGGAGAAAAGGAGGCCAGGCATAAAGAATATCTAGCAAAAAAACGATGATGCTCAGACCCAAGTAGGAGCAGCAGCAGAAGCTGAGAAAGCTGGCACCAATTTGGGAAGGGCAAAGACCTGGCATGATGCGTGTGGTGGGGAGAGCAAAGGGCGGCAAGAAGGAGAGAGTGAGAATTGAGGAAGTAATGTTTTTCCTCTAGAGGCGGAGTCTGAGTAGTTAATGGCAGAGGCAAACAATGCATGCAAGACAGGGAAAAACCTGCAGACAGGAAGATGAGCTTTGACCGTGCAGATCAATGCGCTGCCAGGCACACTAGAGGATGCAGACGCACCCACACAGGATATAAAGTACATTTTGTTGCTTAAACAAGTTCACACAGCTTGACAGGTAGCATCCCACGACACTCACCAGGCCTTTGATCCTGTTCCAGTACACAAATTGAGCCCTGAACTCTTCTGCTTCTCCCATGGGCCATCATCAACTGAAATTTCATAGTAGGAAGCCCTAGGAATTGAAAAGGAAAACTGTGGTCACCGAGCTGTGTGAGGCCTTCGAAGGTCATGAAATTTAAGTAAATCAGCTTGACCAAGACATATCTGACTTGGCAGGCATAGACATCACCATGCTAATTCCAGTCCTGATTACGTGAAAAAAAATTAGAAGGAAACCCGTTTGCTTCTCTGCATGGCTTCCTGATCTACATATCCCTTCCTACCAAAACATTAGTGTTCCAGACACGGCTCGGACAGTTCTCAGTGCTGCTCTCATGGGACCTAACACAGTGCCTCCTCTCAGAATTCAAACAATTTCAGCCTTAAGTGGGTGACCTTCTTGGCGACTGGTTCCCTCTCTATCTAATTCTTTGTGCTAAATTCTTATTTATGCCATATGCTAGAATACCATTTTAAATGACAGTGGGCTAAAAGATAAAACCATATAGAAAATTCTCAACCAACTGTATTCCAGCAGACAAAGCTAAAAGTAAAATCAGAACTATCATTTCTTGAACAATTGACACGTTTTAGAATAGTCCATAAATATGAAATCAAATGAGCTTTTTGACACCAGCAAGCATGACACTATTCTTTAAACACAGAGTGGATGACAGGAAGAACTTCTGAAAAATGTAAAACCCTACTATGTATAAACTATCTTAAAATAATGGTGCCACTGGCAAACACTGACTGTTTCTTCAGCAAATGAAGAAATTAAAAATCTTAGATACAGGTTTTCAAAAGGCTATTAAGTGCACACACTAACACTAGAGTACGTCAGTCTTACTCCTTCAACTTCTTCTCCAAGTTCCTAATGAGTTGTATGTGATGTAATTTCTTCTCATTGTTTCTTTCCTTACTGTTCTTTACGAAGGACAACAGGCCTACAATTCAGCTTTACTCTGTTTCACAGGTCAATTATTTCTTCCTTGGAAAAGCACATTAGAACCCAGCCATGGCTGCTACTGTGCTAGAACGAAGCAGAAACAAGGAGTGAGAGCGGAGAGGATCAGAAGTAAGTGGGAGAGGATGGCAGCCAGGCGAGAGGCATGGAGCCCAAACGATGAGCAAATTTAGTGTCGTTTACATGCAGGTCTATTGGGATTAGTTAATTCACAGGATTTTTGTTCAAGGGAAATTATTTTTAAGGCAGCAAAAAAAAAAAAAACTCACAGTCCCTTTAGATTGGGTATATTTCTTCTTAAATTGTCCACTGCTACAGCCCAACAATAAGGCATTCTAGGTTAGAACAGACAGAAAAGAAAAAACATGGACTTTAAAAATGTTCTTCAATCTGAGAACATGAAAACTGAGGCAGGAAAAAAACACTGCTGCCCTCCACATCTTCCAAGCAAAGCGTGTAGGGTTCCGGAGCACAGTACAGCCTCACCACAGCTCTGGGATCAGGAGTAGTTTTGTCTCTAAATAATTATGAGATCTACACAAACTATCTGACCCTTCTGGAACTCACTGCTCTCCAGGGGCTGCTGTGAGCACTAAGTAACAGAATACAATACACACAGCTTGACAGATAGCAGACACTTGTGTTCATGTTCTTTCTGGTCTAGTCAGAGTCTTTAAAAATAAGCCCTAATACCTTAATAATAGTCACACTGTGTTCAACCGCTTCCAATGTGAATCACTGCCTGCTTATCTTACTGAAGATTTGAGGAGAGCCCTAAGAACGAAAAGCAGCAGCAGACATCACCCTGGGAGACCCCACTGACCCCGAGTCCATCACCTGGTCCCAATTTCCCTCCTCCTGTACAGTAAACACCACGTATGCACCCATGCAGGCAGCAGCTCTCTGTAGCTAGCCACGCCTCTACAAACACAGTAGGGTAAGCCACAAATGGCGTCCCACAGGAAACACGGGCTCATAGAGCTTTTTAACTTAACGAATGCTGTCTGGTGCCTTTCTCATCCTCTCCTCTCCCCTATAATCACAAAATCTATTCTCATTCTCCATGTTGTGTGAAATTTACATGCAGCATGAGACAAAAGTTTCTGAACTGACAGATGATATTTCTTGCTATGTTAAAATAAATACATTTTTTCACTTAAGTATTCTATAAATTCTCTGTAAATACTTTATTTCTTGAAACAATATTCTAAAATTTTAAATGTTTATACTAACCTCCAAAATGTTAATACACTATTATCTTCTTCGTACATACGTTTGTATCCCTAGTGACTTATGCATGGTATATAACAGGCTCACAATGGGTTCTTTCCTTTCCATTAGTTTATTTATTTACCTCACACCCCGATCATACTCCCCTCAGCACACAATATTATTATTGAATAAATATTATATACAATACAATAACCACAATTCAAAAGGATTGTTCAAACAATTCTGCCTCATTAGTTGTCACTATTTTAATGTAAACTGGATTTATAATAAAACCACTTAGTGCTAGCTGGAATGTGGAAGTAACTTTTAGTAGGCAAATCTCTCTCGTCATCAACTCCTTATGAAAGGATATGACCTGCAATTAGAAGAACTAGCAACGGTTCGGAAGTTAAAACTAGGGACTAACTGACATGGCGCCTAGAGAGTTGTGTGGTTCTGGAAGCAACGTAGTAGGAGATGAACTCGGCTCCAGTCTATACCTAATCTGTACAATCTATAAGATGAGGAAACTAAGTGTACTGTACCACGGTGGAACTGACTTTATTTCATGCTGTTTATTTTACAGAGAGTAGCCATGTTGCTTTAAAGATTAGGAAAAAACGTTGGTATTTCAAAAAAACACATTTATCAGTAATAAAGTATATACTATATTTTTACATTTTATATTTTATATTGCTACCAATAATTCTATCTATTTGTGCTTTAGTTCACTACTGTGAACTAAACCTAGAGATTCAGTCACGCAAGGCTAGCACTCTGCCACTGAGATTATCTCCAGCCCTTAATCAAGGCATTAACCTTGAACTGACACTCGCCTTGTGGTTACACTAAACACGGAACAACTACAAACAGGATCAAAAGCACCTTATCTGAAGCTTATGCACTAAATGTCATGCAGATGTAACATAAGGGATGTCCGGCAACCAACCTAGTCACAAGTATTAGTGCCACACATGACAAAGGTGAGTGAGACTAAGGAATTATTCATGGTAGAAGCATAAGGCCACAACAGTGAAATGGAATATGTGATTCATAATTGCATGCTACAGATAAACAAGCAAATAAGCAAATCAGCTTTAAAACACCAGTAAGTAGAGACATTTTCCTCCTCTTGTGCATGTGTCTCTATGTGAGAGAAAAGGGGGAAGAGAGGTGTGTGTTCTAAGAGAAAAATTTGTCTTTATGTGTGAGTGTATGTGTGTGTGTGTGTGTGTGTGTGTGAGAGAGAGAGAGAGAGAGAGAGAGAGAGAGAGAGAGAGAATATATGTGTGTGTTGTATATGAGAAAGAGAGTGTATGTGTGTGTGAGAGAAAGAATGTGTGTGCATGAGAGCATATATATGTGTGAGAGAGTTTTCGATACGTTGTGAGGGGGAGAGGACGGTGAAGAGGAAGGGTGGAGAGCACCAGGAGGATAGGTTTTCTCTGCCTAAGCCATGACCTCAAGGTCCATGGCCTCGCGCTCTAACAAGACTGTTAGTGGCCTCCGGAGCAGGGGACTCTTAGGGGATATAGGAACGTGCAACTACACTCAGTTTTAGGAAAGGAATTTTAATACAGATGGCCCAGGAATCACCTGTAAACGTCTGCCTAGCGCCTGGCTCTGGGGCCTTTGGAACTCCTCCCTCTGATCAAGGCCCTGGAGTGCAGTGCAGTTAGGACTCTGGGAACTGCCGAATTTCAAGCTTCACATACTTTTTCTCATAGACTATTCTATTTCCATTGCTATTACTGGTTTTGGAAAGAATTTTATTAAATAATTAATTTCTACTATTTATATATATCATTATTTCTACAAGCCAAGTTGTAGACATTACTGACCTCTACATTCAAGATCATAAACTACAAGGTACCTGGATGACAGGCTCTCCCCGATGAAGACTTCATTGAGCGCTCTCACCGGCAGAAGCTGAGGTCCTGACGCCTCCGATCCTGTAGGAGAAGGTGAGAGAGCCTTGAATTTCAGAACTATCACAATAAAAAGTTCATAAACTTTAAAAAAGTAATAAACTCCAGAGCTTTAAAACCGTGGTATTCTTTACTATAACCAACACAATCATCTTGAACTGCTCAGAAGATAAAACCTAAGTCACCTAGTCTAAATCAACAAACCGCACTTCTGCCTCTCCAAAATTTAATTCTTCTCAAAGTACTATGAAAAGCAAACCTGGAAAGCACTAGAGAGAGAACAGACTAAGCACCCGGGAAGAAGCACACCTTCCATTTAGTTCACAATCACCTGCGTGGCTCATGCTGGCAACCAGCCCAGAAAGATCTAGCAATGTCAGGAGCCACAAAGTCCTGCTCTACATGACTGTGGGACCGTGAGCTCAACAAGATAACTGCAGACATCTCAAGGCAGACAAGGAAAAGCCCGCAGAGCCCCGACCCTACACAAAGGACTATAGGCCACCAAGGGATGCTGAGAGCAAACGACTCTGAGCCAGGGACGATCACAGCGGCTGGTTAACCAAGACCAAGTGATCTGCCGAAAACACACATGCAAGTAGCATGCAGCCTGAGCAGGTCATACACAGGGATGCACATGTGTATATACATGTATGTACACAGCAGCCAGTAATGAAAAATGAAGCCATGGATATGAAGGAGAACAAGGAAGGGAAGGAAGGGAAAACGTTCTAATCTTCTGACAGAAAAAAAAATTAAGGGAAAGAAAGGGAGGGGGGGGGGAGGGGGGGGGGGGAGGGGGAAGGGGGGGAGGGGGGGGGGGGGGGGGGGGAGGGAGGGGGGGAGGGAGGGAAGAAGACAACAATGTCTTTCAATTGGAAAAACTTCAAAAATATTTTTAGAAATGTCAACATTAGAAAACCAGTAGCACACCTTCCGTGGAGGCCAGTAAGAGTCCCTATCTTTTGTTTAATCTGTGCCACTAAGTAAGTGTTCTCCATCACCACAGTAGAAAATCCTGCGAGCGTTCTCAGTACTGGCGGAATTAAACTTGATCTTGTTATCTTCAAAGAGGTCCCTTTACTCTTTGTCCTTTATTAATGTTCAACTGGAAATGTCAGCCCTGCCCCACCCCCCACCCCTCACCCCACCCCCGAATGTTATCATCAGCAGGACTGGAGTCAAGTGTCTCTCACAGGATCAACATTACGGCAAAAGTTACTTGTCCCTTCCTTACACACTTCTAAGTCCACACTTACTGAGTCTATCCCACTATGGTGGGCAGGCTCTAGTAACCTCTGCCACGCAGCCTTCACGTCGTCCCTCCATTACATCACAGCAGAAGTGGGCAACAGCGATCATGCACCCACTTCTGAGACCCAGTTAGAAAAGACACTGCACTTCTATCTCGCTGTGTATGTCTCTGCCCTCCCCCTCAGCTCACGCACTGTGACGTAAGGCTGGAATGAAGCCTTCTGCTACAACCGAGTGAGAAACAGCAAGTGACTTCTCCAGCGCCATGACATCACATCATCAGGTGCCGCTGTTCTGCTTGACAGCTCAAGTGTTAGCTCCCGAGGAGTACTAAACCAGGGCTAACGGGTTAAGATGTCCCTGGATTATGACCTTCACATCCTGTGAGGTTACAAATATGCATGCCTAAAATGCTAAAGATCGGAGCAATCTGTTACATAGCAGTAGAAATTAACTCCACTAGACACTGAACACACTAATGAGCCACACCGTCACCAACACAACCTCTGACCTGCTTATTCCCTAAGTCTGTGCACATGTTTACTACATTGGATATAATATTTTTCTCATTTCTTCTGGATTTTAACCTCCTAAGGAAACTAACTATTCTTCCAGCTATAAAGAGTTCCTGTGACAATACCAAGAGTTCTTTGCGCGTTTGCTATTTGTCTGCTTTGTCCAGCTCAACAGAAGGAGCCTGACACTCCAAGTCCTGAGAATGCAGGAACACACTACCACACCTGGCCAAGAAGCCATATTCAGAAGATTCTGCGTTTAACGAAACTTCATTGCATTCAAGGCCGTAATATTCACTTTAACTTTTAGTATTATCCCAATTTGCTTTGAGATGTCTCATATCAGACAGATGGACAAAAGTACAATCCTAAAAACTTACTGTTTAGATTATTTTTCCTTAAAGTAATTAATGGAATTCTTAAAACCTTCATCCCCATGGATCCTCCACCAGTGTTCAACTAACAGCACAAATAGTATTAGTAAATGAACTCTTGCCATTCACGTAGTTTCTTTTATATGGACTCCATCCATAGCATGTGGGTTGTTTTAGTTTAGTTTTGTTTTAGACACAGGGTGCGTTGGTTTGAATAGGTATGGCCCCCACTGACTCATGTGTTTGAATGCTTGGCCCACTGGGAGTGGTACTCTAAGTACCAGTGGCCTTGTCAGAGGAAGTGTATCACTGTGGGGGCCGGCTTTGAGGTCTCCTATGTTCAAGGTCTGCCCAATGGGGCACACAATCTCCTTCTGCTGCCTTTGGATCAAGATGTAGAACTCTCAGTTCCTTGTCCAGCACCGTGTCAGCCTGTACTCTGCCATGTTTTCCACCATGATGATAATGGATCTCTGAACTGTAAGATAGATGCTTCAACAGTATAACCAATGTTGGGATTGTCCAGGCAGTCAGCTGTCTCTGTCACTTCTGTAGTTCTGGAAGCTGTGTCCCTGTGCTTCCTGCACACTCAGGTAATATTTAATCCCTCCTCAGATCTCTGACAGGGTTGAAGACAGTTATAGTCTCATAATTAAACTTAAGTTGTTTAGAATTAAAGATGTTCTAGATTTGAAAAGATGGTTTTAGGATGAAAATACAAGTTAAAATAGGGACGGTTAAGTACCTCATCTAAGTTACAAAACAAAGACTGGACTTTTAAAGGTAATTCATAATAATTTTCATAATGCTTTCAAAATAGTTCTACATACTATTTGTTACTATATGAGAAAGAGCCTTCTTAATTGGACAAAAAGGGAAAATATAGTGGGTTGGTCTAATGCTGCTTGTGTTCTTATGCTTATTTTGGGGACCCCAAGTCAGGTTGCCCCAGAGACAAGAGTCCACATGTAGATACTGAGTGATCCTGCCCCCAAATAATTTCTTGATTGGGAAATAGAAATGCCAACAGCCAATAACTAGGCAGAAGAGACATAGGTAGGGTTCAGGTTTCACAGGCTTGGGGTGAAAGAAGCCACCATGGGTTAGGAGTAAAGCAAATGTGGCCCTGTGGGATGGTCAATTGGAGTTCTGAGCAGCCCAGATGAAACATAGTAGGTAGTAAGTAGTAATTCGGAGTTATCGATAGCAAAGTAAATTCTAACAGCATGGAGGGTAGGTATCTGCCCAGCTATTATGCTGCTTAAGGCTTATTAAAAATATAAGGGGTGTGTGTGTGTGTGTGTGTGTGTGTGTGTGTGTGTGTGTGTGTTTTAAATCTGGGAACTCAATAACCAAAGGTGGAGTAGAAAACCCAGGCCAGAATTTAAATAATTCTACAACATGCCCCAATTAGTCACTTTCCTTTATAAGAATGGCTCTGGTCATGGTGTCTCTTCATAGCAACAGCAACCCTAACTAAGACACAGGTCTCTCTTTCATATAGCTCTGGCTATCCTGGGATTCACTTTGTAGAAGATCTCAAACTCAAATTCAAAGAGATCTGACTACCTCTGCCTCCCAAGTGTTTGCAAATAATAATTACTAAGAGATATAATTAAAACTTAGAAAGAAAACAAATCCACATACATAAAATCCCTTTAAAGGTGAACTTATAATAAAAATATATTCTTTTTTTATAACATGTGACAAGAATAACCTAGGCAAGGACGGGTCACAATACATGATGTCACTAGCTTAAAGTTGCATCATTTAAGTTCAAAGATGTAGAGGGGTTCCCTCTAGTCTCCTTCTAAATTGAAAAGCTAAATAATCAAATATAGTCTCAAACCTCTTTCTGTATTTAAAACCCAAATGCAAGTTTTCTAGACAGTGTTTCCTGATAACATGAAGAGAACATAAGGTAGATATCAAACACACACCTTGAACTGGCTCTCAGGATCTTTAGAAACTCACCTACTAAAAATAAATCCTAACAAACACCCCTCTAAAACAGTCCCTCAGACAATCACTACCATGCTGTTAAATGTAACCATGGTAATAACTGTAGAGATATCAGTGTCTAATGTGCTACTGACGACTGAAATAGTCTTGACTCCAGATCCTTTATACCCAGAGCCGTATCAGTGGTCCCAGCACTCTGGAAATCCTACTCACTCTACTCATACACATTTTGTTTAGAAATTTACTGTCCCTGTATTCTGAGACATTTTCTTGTATTTTTACTTTGGCCATTGTTTAGGTCTGTTCCCAGCTCAACCGTCAGTCAGATGCTCATCTGGTTCCTGAGCCAGATTCACTCACTGTGAATAGGTCTTATAGGTATGATCTCTGCATGGTTTCATACATCTCTCTGAAGACGCAACTAGTGATGGAAAGACGTGGTTCACCATCTTTTGACGATACTAATGTTTTTCATGGTTCATAAGTTTACAGTTATGGAAAACAAAAAATGGCAAAAGAAAATTTCATAAATTAGAACAAAGATGAACTCTATTCACTTTAACCCTCACAGAAAACAATTCCAAGTTCCCATCTTAATCTGCTTCAAACAGAAATCTCAAACCCAGGGTGCAAACTTTTCCACCAAGAAAGGTTCTATTTGACAACTACAGTAAACACACTTAAATCCTAAAGAGTGAGAGAGTGAAGGACACACAGAGCAACAGAAGCACACGGATGAGACCCCGCAGACCAGCTCATCCAGTTTCTGCTGCTTCCCTCTGGACGTGTCAAGGTCTTTCCCTAAGTGTCAACTGTCCAGCCAGGTACTGATAATTCACCCTTAGTCAACCAGTTCTCAACCCTGTCCTACAGACAGTTCATCTTAAGACATGTTCTACTGTTTTAGATTCTATAGCAACAATGACAACAAAATTAAGCCAGCAAAAAACATTTTTAGAGAGTTCTTAGTGGCACTAAAAGCATACTAAATGTAAATTATTGCTTTAAAACTTAGCAATTACACAGTGCCCACTCCAGGCTAGCCCCAGCCCACCTACTTTCATCATGCACTCTTTCGATGTTAAAGGCTCGGCTGTGCTGATTCAAGCTCAGCTGCTGTTCGTGAAGGTCCACAGGAGTGGGGTTTATGCCAGTCCCTTCCAGATATAACCTGATCCGCTGCCTCCATAACCACCTGCAAGTGAAGAAAAGGGAAGTTATGGTAAAGTCAAATACACTGAGGTAAGGCTTAGACATTATGATAACCTCAGCAAACTGAAAGATGTATATGAGATGCTAATTATCGGTTGAGCACAGCGACATTTACATGTCTTTAATACCAGCACTAGAGAGGCAGAGGCAGGCAGAACTCTGCGAATTTGAGGCCAGCCTAGTCTACATAGCTAGTTACAGGACAGCCAGACATGAATAAATTATAGAATAAACGCCTAAAGCCCACAGGTCTCTAAAAGACGTGTGTGGATGTGTGGATATTTACATCTCTTTCCAGTTGTTGGTAATGTCTAATAAGCTTATATAAAACCTACAAGTAATCTGAATTTAAATATTAATAATAACCCATTAAATCCATAAGAGCTAGACATAAGCATGTGTTTGCTCAGCAAAATCTATCACAGAAGGCAAACAGCACCCCATTAAGGTGAATGTATGAGATCAAGTTCCCCACAATTTCAAAATGGTGTTTGTTTTGAAGAAGAAGAGGAGGAGGAGGAGGAGGAGGAGGAGGAAGAGGAGGAGGAGGAAGAAGAAGAGGAGAAGAGGAAGAGGATGAGGAAGAGGAGGATGAAGAAGATGAGGAAGAGGAGGAAGAGGATGAGGAAGAGAAGGAAGAGGAAGAAGAGGAGGAGTAAGAGGAGGAGGAGGAGGAAGAAGAAGAAGAGGAGAGATTAAGAAGTGGCAAATGTGAACTATTTACTCCATAGAGACATAAACCATAATGTGGTAGAAGTGGGTGCTGAGAGTTCACATTTGGGGTCCCCGTGTGCTCACAGCAAGCCCTCCCACCACCCACATCTCCAACTCTGTGAAATACATTTTTAAAAATCCCATCCTACTGCCTAAAACACACTTCACAGCTAACACAGACTGGAACTCAGCCTGGTTTGATTAAACACACAGTCCTCCAGCCATTATTACATAAAAGTACAAATACAAAACTGAACCTTTAGTTTTACCAAACAGCCCTAACTATCTCTCCTAAATGCTAAGAGCATGTATTAATAATAAAACTAAGGAAAAGTGGGGGTAAGGTCACTCTCGCTGAAGGACTAAAACCTTCATTTGCGACTACAACCCAAGTAGCATTTGTCATGGTCTCTCGACTTTGTTCTGACTGAAGTAGGAGAAGGTAAGGAGAGGCCTGGAACTGGCCTCTAGAGTTTTTATGGCTGCTTTTGTTAACTATGAGTGCCCAGTTTTCTGCTTGTCCTCTTTTTGAATAATATCAGCAGCACACATTAATCTATTAAAGAATCAAATGCAAAGAATAAGAAACTCCTACCTGAACTCACCACGAGAGAACTTTCGTAAGGCTTCGGGGAAGGAATGTGTGTATCGCACAGGCAGACACAGATGACCTTCAGACCTGTGATGTTCAGGTGGCACAGCAGGCAGAGGACAAGGGTATGGGAGAAAAGGGTCAGGGCATCACTGAACGACAGACTTCAGAGACCAGTTTTTCTAAATTTCAACCCACAAATTGTCTGCACTTTCAGTAACAATAGAAAAGACTGAACAAACTAGGGTCCACAACCAGCCTTAATACATCAGAATTACACCAATGTTTCCACAGTATGATGAAACTAAAAATAATAACAAAGTTCTGCTGCCAATCACCCTGTCTACTCCTCCAGGGGTAGAGTGGGATCCTCTAAATTACTTGACTGTTAACTTCAGATAAGTCATGTTAGGATTGTTTCCTTATTTCTACAAGTGTGATAAGCCAGCAACAGCAATGTTATTCTGAAAAATCAAACTGTGAAATGTGTAAAATTGAACTATCTGAGTGCATTCTGGAGTACAGAGGATATCCTTAAACAAAAGAATTGCGAAAGCCGATCCCTACAGGCCCTTTCCCCTCTGAAAAAGAATGTAAAAATGAAACTCACAGATTACTGCAGAAGACAAATTAAGATGAGCACTTGAAAAGGTAGAGATGGCTCTGAAGTTGCGAGTATTCCATCCACTCTTATGGAGGATCTGAGTTCAGTTCCCAGCACCCATGCAGGATGGCTCAGAGCCAACTGTAATTCTCCTTCCAAGGGACCGGATCGATACCCTTTTCTGATTCAGATGACCGTCAATTCACATGAATATATCCCACACAGACACAAAGTCACATATACATAATTAAAAATAAAATCTACAAATCAAAAAGTAATCGAGAATTACAAAAATGGTAAGAGTCCCTTTAAGTTGCTCCAGGGTAGTGACAAGACATGACTCCTGGTGATACCCACAAAGCTTCACTCTCATCAAGCCCATGGTGCTCTCATCGGGAAGGAATGGCGAGAGCAGACCCGGCAAGTCAAAGTCTGAATAATAAATTAATAAATTGTAAAATGTAAATCAATGAGTAGAGAAAGAAGGTTTTTCAAGGTACAATTAATAAAGGCAGGACCTCATTTTTTTTAATTTTTTGTTCTTTCATTTTTTTTCCCTTTGAGACACAGTATCACAGACTGCTTACAACTCCAGGTGCTGAGATCGCAAGCCTGGACCATTTAAAATGTCTATAGCCTTTAATACTATACACAGTGTTTGCTATATAAAAGGTAACATAGTCATTTGATAGAAAATATCTCCTTAGGTCAACCTCAAGTGTAAACTACTGTCCACAGAAGCTCACACTCTCTCATGAGTCACACTCAGATATCAGCTTGGCTCTGGGTATCAGAAGGCCTGACTAGATCCATTTCCAAGATTGCTTACGGCTGACAAGCTAGCGCCAGCTACAAGCAGGTCTGAGTTTCTCTGATGTGAGCCTTTCTTCACAGGGTACCACAGTAGGCTCAGTATCATGGTAACCGACATGTTAATGAGCAATCCAACACAGCAGCTACAATATGTCGCTCAGAGCATGGCTCAGAATTTTGAGTGTCTCACCAAGTTCACTGGCTTCACTGGGCAGCTCTGCCAGAAAATGGAGAGCAGAAACAAAGCCACAGAGGGTGGGACTATTGGGATGGGAAGGGAGGCTGACTACCATGGCATTCAAAGGCTACTCAGTTACCAAGCTCAGTAGTCCGTGCAGAAGACAGGGGAGACCCACTGGATGGTATTTTTAATTCAGACAAATCCATGGGAGGAAGCCATCTTAAAGTGGACATTCTGCCACAAATGAAGCCCTTAAATGCCAGCAGCCCTCGATGAGCTCTTTGGCCTCATGACAAGGTATAAATATAGCTTTTCTTTTTCTCTTATTTTCTATTTAGAACAATAGCTCTTCTTTGTTGTCTCTTGCCTCCATGGGCAGATCTAAGGCCTCAGTTTGTTCAAACCTGACAGGTTAATGACTTGAAGCCAGTTTTTTTTTAAAAAAAAAAAAGAAAGAAAGAAAGAAAGAAAGAAAGAAAGAAAGAAAGAAAGAAAGAAAGAAAGAAAAGAAAAGAAAATATAACTCAATCATAAAATCACTTAACAACCTCTTATCTTAATGCTATAAAAACAGGCTATTAAGAATTTCTAAAACCCACATGCATCAACACTAAAGTCGAAGGTTAATTACTAAACTAATGATCTTACGTGCTCACAGAACATTAATTCAGCTAGGTTGAAGTCCTGGGTCTACTCCCTAAGAGCTTTTAATTACATTCATTGTTTGGAAGTTTCCTGAATACTATGTGTAAAACTATGTGAATGTCAGATACAAGGTCCTATACCCAAAAGACGTAACAGTGTAAGAGAGGAGACAAGCAGAGAACAGGAGGCTGCTGGCTGAGTGCTGTCTGTGCAGGGAGCTTCAGTCTCAGTACGACACAGCATACAATTCACTCTATCTTGAGGGAATGGCCACGGGTAAGCTTGGCATAAGCACAAGCTCGCGCTTGACAGAGGAACATAAAAAGCGTGAGAACCCTGCTGGCCCTCTGGAGCACTTGCTCGCTCCTTCACAGCACCCACAACTGTCTATGTCCACAAAGCTGGCCAGAGCCAAAGTGTCCCTGAGGGGGCCTCCAACCACCATGGTGTGAACAGATGCTCACTCATGTGACTACAGTTCACACTGAGCCCTTTAGAAAGACTCCAGGCGAAGTTTAAATCCACACATGCGTTTTTCCAACTGAAGAATATATAGCTCCTGGGATGTATGAGGACAGATGAGACGATAAACAACAGATGGGCGAGACCACGCGTGTTAACTAAGAGATCCGAGGTGTATCCTCGGGACCAGAGGGGAACTGTAAAAGATTTTAATTAAGGAGCAACTATACTTAAGACTTATACTTTATAGAGAAAGACCATGACTTGTGTTACAACTTGTGTGTAAAACAGCCCCCACGGGCATCCACGTTTGAACACTCGGTCACTGAAATAATCTTCAACAACAGCCTGTGAAGGCCTGAGCTATGTTTAGTGGTAAGACATGAACTCAGCAGTGTCTTCTGCACATGGCAGGCTCTGGTCAAAGACCAAGCATGATCCAGTCATTCCACCAGGCATGGAGTAGGAGGTGAGCGTGGCCCCAGCACGGGAGCACTGATGGATTCTGGGAAAAGCAGGATCCGTTTTCAGTTAGTGTGTGGCTCCTGGTAGGCCAACCACACTACAGTGGAGAGCCCATACTCACAAGCATATGGACAGCACAGATTGAATTAAGTTATTTAAAAAAAAAAAAAAAGACGAGCAGTTGTTGAGAGCGTGGGGGTGGGGAGGTAGAGGCAGATCTGGGAGGAGTTAAGGCAAATATGATAAAATCCACAGATATAAAATTCTCAAAGAATTCATTTAAAATATTTTGAGAGGTAGAATCACTGGATGATTCCTAGAATTTATCACCAGTCGGATGAGGGACTAAGGACTAAGTCAGAGCTTCATCCCAGGTAACGCTTCCGTTTACCAGAAGGAAGCAGAAAAGCAGTGATCGCCTGTCCATAGCTGCTTACTTAATACATCTGATGAAAAGCCAATTAGCTAGAACAAGGGAAAGAGAGATTAGGGCAGAAAATAGTCTGGAAGCATGCGATGATGAGTCTCGTGACTCCGTAGAGGTGACCCCTGACGGACCAGTTTCCTGAGATGAAAGATCTATGTGCTAAAACTCAAAGCATCCAAGGAAAGGCAGGCTGAGGTGGACATGCTCTCACAGTTAAGAATCAGACTTCCTCGAGTGGGATGGGGCTGTGAGGCTTGAGACGGTTGAAGTAACAGTGACTGCAGTGGGTACACTGAGGAGGAGGACGCAAGCAGAGGATGCTCTAGCCAACAAAGGACAAAAGGACCTGGACTATATAATCCACGAAAACAGCACTAAGACCAAGGACCAAATATGAGCTCCTTTAAAAGAAATAGACATAAAGGAGAAATCACAGAGGAAGGAAGAAAAGAACCTTTAAATGTCAGAGTAAGGAAGAGCTATGCTTAAACCCCCAAGTCAACAAGGGCAGAAACTGCAGTGTGTGCTCGGCTCAGGATGTCACTGGTTTCCGAAACACTATCGGTGAACTGGCTGAGGACAAATCCAGAAAAGGCTCAGAGTTTCGCCCTGGGAAGTGAGGACGCAGCTATGCTGGGGTTAGTGGAAAGAAAAGGGGCAGCAACCAAGATGCAGACAAGAAAGTGCAGAGTCATCCTGAAAAGGCATGGTCCTGAGTGAGGCCCCAGGCAGGCCTGGAGGGACCACAGAGGAAAGGGAGCAAGTGACAAGACATCCCCAGCCTCCACTTCCTCAGTGAGCCTGGGGAGGGCTGACTCAGGGAGAAAGGATGCAGCTGTACCCAAAAGCGAGCATTCCGAGCATCCCCTGAGCAGTGCAACGGAAAATGGAGAGAAGAGAGGGTGAGAAGGCTGTGGGCAAGGCCAGAGCCTGAGAGCAGCTAGGACTCTGAAGCTGGAAATGCTAGCAAGCCCAAGTTTCTAAGGTTTGTTTGTTTGTTTTTTCTGCAGGATTTCTTTCAAGCATAACATAGGAACAGACAGGAAGATTGGCTAATCTAGAGTTGAGGAGAAAGATAATGACCGAAAGATATTTAAGAAGCCATCAAAGAGATAAATAAAATGAAGGAAATAGAGGAGGCCTGAGTACTGAGGGCATCTCTATGGGATGAGGGATACGACCTCCAGTAAGGTCAGTGTGTGTTCCTTCCTAGGAAGCAGATTATGGAGGTGTGAAACCTCCAGACAAATTTTATAGTGTCCAGTTATACTCATGGCTCTAACGGGCTGGAATAAAGAAAAGACTACATGTCAGTAAACCTGGGAAAGAGAAACAAGTTTTCAGACAGATGACAGCAACACGGAGCTCCCCCAGGCCTGGCCACTGGAAGAGACGTGGAGGGAGGGGGGATGGGCATCAGTCTGCCCAGGCACTCGGCAGTCACCTGGTCAACTGTCCGTTTTCACTAAATTGTCCTTAGAACATGTTCTGATGTTACTTTAACATCATGCATATGGAAACATTCTTGAAGCAACAGAGCCCACATCATGAGTACCAGAGGAAATAAAGAATAGCTTTGAAAATTTAATATTCATAAAAAACAGCCAACACAAAACACAAAGCAGAAATGTCTGCATGTAGAATATTTTAAAAACTAACCCTGTAAAATTACTTATTACAAAATAAACATGGCCTCGCTTACCGTTCCGGATCAGTGTTGACCCCAATAACAGGTTTAAGTCTGTCCAGAACTTTACTCGCAGCCAGGAGCATCGTGCCGTCACCTAGCACAGAGTGCGAGACACAACCAGACTTGTCTTAGAAAGCAGCTCGAACATTCTGGAAACCAGGAGTCTTCTTCCAACCATAGTCCCTCCCAGCAGACTGCTACAGCTTCCCCTCAACCTGTGCCTGCTGTACAGCGCTGAGCCTGCTGTACAGAGCAGAGCCTGCTGTACTGTGCTGAGCCTGCTGTACAGAGCTGAGCCTGCTGTACTGTGCTGAGCCTGCTGTACTGTGCTGAGCCTGCTGTACAGAGCTGAGCCTATTGTACAGAGCTGAGCCTGCTGTACTGTGCTGAGCCTGCAGTACTGTGCTGAGCCTGCTGTACAGAGCTGAGCCTGCTGTACTGTGCTGAGCCTGCTGTACTGTGCTGAGCCTGCTGTACAGAGCTGAGCCTATTGTACAGAGCTGAGCCTGCTGTACTGTGCTGAGCCTGCTGTACAGAGCTGAGCCTGCTGTACTGTGCTGAGCCTACTGTACAAAGCTGAGCCTGCTGTACGGTGCTGAGCCTGTTGTATTGTGCTGAGCCTGCTGTACAGTGCTGAGCCTGTTGTACTGTGCTGAGCCTGCTGTACAGAGCTGAGCCTGCTGTACTGTGCTGAGTCTGTTGTGCTATGTTGTGCCTCTTGCAGTGATTTAGGATTTCAACAGTGCCAGGACAGGCAGAAAAATGTTTACATTAGAAGGCTGTACTGCATGTTAGGACAGCTGGCAGAATTTCTCACCTTAACAACCCATCAAATGACAATAATGTCACCAAACTGGACATCGTTGTCCAGGATTGGGCTCTAATCCCAAACATCTTTCCTGATCTATTAAACCAGTTCAAAGATTTATGATATTTAAGTAAAAACATATCCAACCATATCCAATTTAATATGTTCTCTCCAACAACTACTTTCAAGTGAAGGCTGGAAAAACGGCCACTAATAGTTACAATACTCAAGAAGAAGTACATTTTGGTATGATGAGGCTAAACAATGATAACCTCAATACAGTTTCACCGTTGGCTCTTTATTAAGGCTGCCGTAATTCAATCAAACGACACTCACAAAGCATCTTTTCAATTTAAAGGTGAGAGCTTCAAACTACGACTAAAGAAAACACAGAAAACCGCACAGCATCAAGAATTATGAATAACATTAAGAAAAAAATGCAACAGCAAACAAAACAACTACAGCAAAAAACTGTCTCACGGGACTTGCAGGATTTAAAACAGCTGGACTGCAGGAACCTGGAAAAGCAGCCCGCGCCCTCTGCCCTGTCTCTGGGAATCAGTTACCTCCTGCAGCTATGACAGCATCTGCCCATCGAACCGTCTCTTCATCGTACTCCCTCCGCTTCACCAGGCGAACCTCAATCCCTTCATCCCTAGGATAAGAAGTTGCACACGGTTTCCTCTGGTGACATATCTAAGACACGGACATTTTCTAAGAGGCAGAGTCTTACCAAAATCATCATCATCATCATTATTAGAAACAAATCTAGGTGTAATTCACAGAGTTAGCATATATAGCCAATTAACTATGACAAGTCGGGAAGCAAATAAACAAACGCTGACAACCAAGTCTCCACGGGACTTAAAACAAACTTTAAAACCACTGACAGTAATGCTGATTGATCAGATTTCACTTTCCTGTTTCTGATGCTGAGATTTAATACAAAAGTGTTCTTATACTCATTACATAAAACTTACATATTCATTAAAAACAACTATGACCTGAAATTCAACAAGTATTCATTGAGCTGCAGATGCTCAGAGTATTTGGTGATTAGCACGTTCTTAGATTCCTCTTCTACAGTCACTTAAACTGATTCGACTGCAAGCTAGAGAGTCTACAATGGTCATTTTTAGACCCAGTAATACTTTAATGAACACTCGTACCTACTACTCACACAGTGGAAGCCTGCTGAGGACTGAACGAACTGAGGAGACTGTGCTTAGGAGACAGTTACTGAAAATATTTGAATTTTAAGAGTAAGACAAAAATTTCCTTAGAAAAAATGATAAAGTTTGGTCTTTTGAGTGCAATAAAATTTTCTGGAAATGTGCCAAGTTTTACTAACAGTCTAAGACTTAGCTGTGAGCACAAATATGATTTTCAGGATTCTTGAATGTAAACTCCCCTGTAAGACCCCCATCGCATGGACTTACCGTAAACTATCAATTATGTGTTCTACATTTTTGGTGTGTATATGATGTCGCTCAAGTAGTCCACTGTAGCTCGAGCCTTTCAATGCAAGCTACCAAAAGAAAAGAAATGCTATTTTACATCAAAATATTACATATAATACAATGTCATTTAAAAGCCCTACATAAAATAAAAAAATCCAAGGCCCATGTTAGTAACTCTCTATGAAACTACAAGTTCAAACTCAACTAAAGGGCCGTCTTCAGAAAAATCGTAACTTTAGTATCAAATGCAGATCAGGTTTTGTGAATTCTGTAGTCAACAGTTTCCAAAAGGCACACTCTATACGGCTTCTTAAATGCCTCTACCAGGGTACACTGGCTATCTGCAGGCCAAAGACAAGCTATCACTGTCATAGGCAGTGAGGTGACCTTTGGCCCACTTGGATGTGCTGTCTTGTGTTCACATTTATGGACCCAGTTTGTATTTTGCCCTGCGTCATCTAGCAAAGAGCTGGGTACGTCTCTGAGGAAGGATACTGTTCTGATACACAGAAATATTCTTCACGCATTGTTCTTCCTACTTGACTCCAGTGTGTATCTTCTTACCATTAATACTCTAAAGACAAGTAATCTAAAAAGTAAAATGTAAAGTATGTGTCCAATATGAAATCTAAATAGTATCACTACTTAATTACAGGGTAAAACTAAGTTCTAAGAAGTAATTTCGTATGTATTTTACTTTGGGGAATGGCTGAATCACAGTCTCACTGTGTAGCAGAGGATAGCCTCAAACTTCTACTTTTCCTCAGCCTCCCAAGTATTTCTGATACCAGTGTGTGCCACCATGTCTGGCTTGTGCTTTACTTTGTAAAAAAATAAAAAAATAAAAAACACTTATTTTTGACAACTGTATTTTGCTTTTGCGAGATTACAAACATAACACTAATGTAGAAGGCATTTTAAGAAGAATAAAATCAGATGTCTTATTTCTTTCCCAGTATTTTCTTTATAAATATAGCACTAAGAACTGCTTAAAGTATTTTTTTTTCTTCTTCTACACTTAAGAGAACTGTATGAACCCTAAAAGAGCAAAGAAAATATTTGGCTGTCACGAAAATTAACAGATGAATACTAAATTATATCAGAGAGCCACACAAGCTGAACTGCTGGCCATTAGAATAATTACATTCAGCCCAAATCAGCAGTGATCACAGCGCTAACTAGAAACGCTTCGCTCACCTCACCCAAATGAACACAAATCATTGGTCTCTGATTAAGGACGAGCACCTTGAGGTTTCTGTCCCTCATTATTCCAGTATAAAACTTCACATCAACCACCTCTCAAGGAGAATGACCCAAAAGGCCTTCCTTCTCTACCCTCTCCTCCATGACACCCTGTACCAGAACTACAAAAGACATCTGTACACGGATGCTCTGGATTCCTAACTGCTCTCTCAAGCACTAAAGAGTTTGGACTCGGCGTAAATTGGCCCACATACCTCTTTTCATGTGTTCAATACCAAGCCTTAAGTTTCCTCTCTGAGGACTCCTCGCCTACAGCTTAAGCCGAGCCTGGAGTCACAGCTGGACCACCTCCTTCCTTATCCCCATATCCAATCACCAAATCCCAGGCAGCGAGCATCAATGCGCACCTGTGCGCTCATCAATACCACACCGTGGACAACTGCACAGGCCTCTGCTCAGCCTCCTATGTCAGCTCCTGGCCCTCCAGACTACTCCCCACACAGATCCCCTCGCTGACACACCGGTGGTCAGTTATGAAGACCCAGTAAGTCCCTGCGCTCTTTCCTCTGTACTTGCTGGAACACTTTCCCTCCTGGCTCTCCTCAGCCTTGCAGCATGACAGCCTAACTACTGACAAAGCTGAGGCCCTGAGCGTGTCCATCACCCTCAGATACAAAGCCAATTACTCTTTCCCAGAGTCTATTTGTTCCCTCCACACTGAATTTGCTACACCTAAAATTACCATGCATGTATTTTCTAAAAACCTGTTCATGTCCCCTTACTAGAATATAATTAATACAACAGTGATCTTCTGTTGTTCCGTGTACCCTCAGGATCTGATTACTGCATAAGCATTTGCTGAGTGAATTCATTCATTCATTCATTCATTCATTCATTCATTCATGTTTTGGCCTTTTTAGGGGAGGTTGGGCAGCTAGCGATCCGTGTCTTAGAAAAGCAACAACAGTGCATAAGCAGATTCCAAGGACAACTTGAGTGACAGGTTGCCTGCAAAGCTGGCAGTCTCTACCTGGTCAGGACTGAGGAAAGAGGCCAAGAAGTGGAGGGAATAAATTATTTTGTTATAGTAACACCACACATGATTTCACTTTAGGATTGAACACTTTACAAAGCTAAAAATTAAGATTTTAAAAATGTAATGTGTGCAAATATTTGAGTACTCAACTACTGTTTATTTAAACTTTAGTTAAACTCAATTATATTTATTAAATGGGAACTACAAATAGCCCAGAATGATGACACATATTTTAAAGGGACAATAAGTCTTTCAGAATACTGTCACTGAATTTATCGTTTCTCACTTGCTAGAAATAAAACTAAGGTTTCTGGCCTCCAGACTTCAATCATCTGTCCAAATACTGGCTCTTTTGTTCCAACTTTTGGTTTCGATCATATGAACATACATTCTGGAACAAAAGACATAAACAGGCTAAGAAATTTCAGTTCTTACTTCCTGGTTCTCAGCAGGCTGCTGGAAATTAAGATAAAGATTAGCCTTGGAGCAGCAATGTCTTTATCTCAAATTTCTCCTTGTGAAAACACTCTCAACCTGAGGGTCAACATTCTCCCAGAGAATGCAATTGCCTGTAGTATTTTCTCTAACATACTAGCTGGTAGAGTAGCTGGTGAAGCAGGTGGAGTAGCTGGTGAAGTAGCTGGTGTTGGTGGAGTAGCTGGTATAGTTGGTGGAGTAGCTGGTATAGCTGGTGGAATAGCTGGTAGAGCTGGTGGAGGAGGTGGTGGAGTAGCTGGTGGAGCTGGTGGAGTAGCTGGGTTCACTAACAAGGACTAGCCACACTAATCAGATGCATGTCGAAACATTTTAGGAAACACGTTAGAAACAGCAACTAAAATATCCTGAACCACCATGTAAGCAACACTCACACTAGTGTAAAACACAAATTGGTAGAACAGACAGCTATATCACTGAAAATAATGTGGTCTCAAACACCTAAAAACTCATCTTAATCAGAAAAAAAAAAAATCAAGTATGAATTCTTATAAAATGGTTGACAATTTAAAAGTTCGAGAAATTTAGAATTCATTCTCAATTTTGTAATGTCTCATATTACATATTCAAAAACATACTCATTTCTAGTATTTTTCAAAAATCCCTGCCTTATTTCCATTAAAGAAATAAATGAATGGTTATTCAAGTTGGACAAAGTAAAAGAATCTAAAAGCATTCACAGACAGACTATCTCATCATACACACCAGTTTCTCCTACACAAATCACCCAAGCCCAACACCCCTTCTCTCACTGCCTTGGTGTTAACGCGCACAGCAGTATCAGAGAATAAAAACTGAGGGCAGATTTGCCACATTTTACAGGGGTTTTAAATGTGCAATTTTCTAAATGGTCTTCAGCATTTTTACTTCTTAACTTGCCTTAAATTAAACTCATTACAATTACAAATTTTTAAAACTTGCTTTACCGGTCAGTCAAATGCTATTACTTTGGACTCTTTAATTTCCATGAAAGGTCAGTAAAGAGTCTCCTTACCGCGCATGAAATACACAGCTGTGTAGGATAATGGAAGTTTGCTATGTAAACTCACTAGGTATGGTTCAAGCATCCTTTTACACACTAACTAGGTGGCTTGCTATTACTCAAAACTGCCTGGGCAGTGTGTGCGGCCTTTTCAGCAGCTACAAAATGAACTGCTCACCCCTCGCCGGCAGCACAGCCTCCTGCAGACCTGTCTGGCTAAAACTCACTGATCCTGGATCATTTCTCCTCTACTTCATCTCACAGACGCTCACTTCCCGTCCTCCGTACTGGTTTTGATCTTCTGTGTGCCCTCCCCGTGTGAGTATGGGCAAGGCTCCATCTCTGGCCTCTTAGCTGCGTTCACTTCTTTACTGACTTATCTCCAACCCAGGGACCTGGCTTCCAGAGTATGAACTAGCCATATAACTGAACTCTGTCCTGGCAGCTCACACTCTTTTCATTCAGACTGTAATTCTCAAACGTCTCACCCTAAAATATCTAAACAACTACGTGGCCCCACTCTTATATGCGCTGAGAGTTACATGCCTGTTAATCAGGCATCGTTTCTTTAGAACTGAAATACCCAGCTGTCACCCTCATGTCTTCTCTCCCATTCAACCTCCACAGCCAGTCAGCCAGCTTAGCTTTTTCCTGAGTTCTTCATGGCCGGCCAGCTTCAGCTCTGGACCACATCACTCCTACAGAGCTGAACGCATAAGCTTGCCTGTGGGTTTTCTAAACTAATTCCTTTAAAGTCTGATCAACCCTCACCCCCAACCTAATCAAGACCAGAAATGTCATCTTTGCTCTATTCCCCAAATACTCAAAATCAAAACCTTATCCACCCCACTCATCCTACTCCTATGAAGGTAGACCGGCCAATGATTGGACTTACTGCCAAAAAAAAAAAAAAAAAAAAAAAATCTGGAGAGCATTAGCAGAGAATGCCAACTCTCAGAATTATAGTTAATGTCCGTCTATCTTGTCCAGCCTACCTGTCTGACATCAATACATGCATGGCTGAGCACTGACCATGTCCCTGTGATACATTATAGTCGGATAGAACATCTCAATTAAACAGAAAATAAAATATGCTCTATTTAATTAGGTTAAACAGTTTCCTGTAGCATTTTATTCCCGTTAGTACTGGGTCACAATGTGAAGTCCGTCACTGAATCACAAGGTTTGGTTTTGTTAGCTGTAAGATGAGCTTCGTTCCTTCGTCTCTTCACACTGCAAACCCTTCCATCCTTTAATATTTAGTAACATCCCAAGAATAAAGGGTTATCCTTTCCTTCTATAATACTGGCAAGTGTTACAAAGGCTTATCATCTCACGCCATAATACTAGCA